GGTGCGGCCGGGGCGGCCGACGCCGAGGAAGGTGGACGCCGGGGCCGGAGTGGCCGCCGGCGTGAGGGAGCAGGTGGAAGGGAGCAGGGACTTTTTTAAAGGATGCAGCGGTACGAGCTTATAGAACAGATCCTGTTCAAGTAAGGTCGTTTAAAAGAATTGTGCTCCATGAGGAATTGAACCCAGCCGCTAACGCTATAGCGATCAGACTATCAGCCACTAGACTAGACAATAATTGATCAACTTTTTTCAAACCTCATGTTTTTGAATTGATGAACTTTTTTAAATTTTGCAAACTTTTTTCAGGTCCGTGAACTTTTTTGAATTCATGAAACTTTTGCATTTTCTTCAAAAGTCAATGGTTGACTGATCAACCATCGACCAAGCGAACCAAGTTTTTTTTTTTTGAGTCTACCAAGCGAACCAAGTGTACCATGGGGAAGCGACTGTGTCGCCGTGTGAATGGGCCAGCCCATGGCTGCAGGCGCGTGGGTGCCAAAACTCCTAACCGCCACACAAGGCGCCGACTAGGAGGTCTCCGCGGCTTGCTCACATACACAATGTCTTTTTAGTTAGAGACGATGGGCTAAGCCGTGCGGCCAAGCAGAAGGATATTGGGGTCACCTATTTATCTGTCTAATAATAATGTCTGCTATATCCATCCTTTAAACCATGACCTCCAAATATTTGAAAACACCATTTACAGATCTTCCAACATCATATGGTATCCCAATATAGTTATCATCCATTTTGGACTTCTTGAAAGGGGAAATGGAGGATTTGGATAAATCATTAAATAGATGATAGAGGCATATTAATAACTGTTTTTTTGGAGTGTCACTAATAGCTGCTCATAAGAACCCAGGGAAAGGGATTCGAGATCCACTGATTAAGGGTCAGTTCTTTTGGGCGGCTTAAAAATAAGCTGCCTCTTCCCAGCTTAAAAAATAAGCCGCTTCAAAAATTTGTTGAGACTTCTAAATTAGTAATCCTATAACTAGTTTAGAAGCCTCAATAAATAAGAGAGACGGCTTATAGGAAAAGCTAAAGAGGAGATGGCTTATTTTTTAAGCCATAAAAAATGGCCTTAAAATGTGTTAAAGCCCACTAGTATAAATACTGGAGTTTTTATTTTGAGCAATGTATAAACACCCGAAATCACTAATTAAGGAGTACTCGTTGCAAAGATCACTCCAATTCCCCTAATTGCGACAAGTGACGCACATGCAGCGCATCACTTGTCGCAACCTGGGAGTTTTCCCCTTTTTTCGTACATCCATTTATTCAAAATGTTTTATCTCTCAAACCATGCGTTCAAATCTCGAACCGCTTTCACCGTTGGATTCCTCGCGTTGAGATCTTCAAAACTAGATACCATGTTGATAGGTTTTGACGAACTTTTTTTCACGAAAAAAGGACGAAAAAACCGAACCGGGAGCACAGGTTTTTTCCCTTTCCGAAAGAGGCATGCCCATGCCTCTCACGAAATCACAACCGTGCCTATCGCGAAAGCAAAACCGTGACTCTCGCGAGAAAAAAACATGTTTTTTCATTTCCGAGAAGGCACGGCCATGACTCTCGCGAAAACACAACCGTGACTCTTGCGGAAGCAAAACCGTGACTCTCGCGAAAGGAAAAAAATAGAAAACGCGTTTTTTCCTTTTCGAGAGGCACGACGTTGTCTCTTGCGAAAGCACAACCATGCTTCTCGCGGAAGCAAAACCGTAACTCCCGCGAAAGAAAAAAAACAGAAAACGCGTTTTTTTCGTTTCCGAGAGACACGGCCGTGGCTCTCACGGAAGCAAAACCTTGACTCTCGCGAAAGAAAAAAAAATAGAAAACACGTTTTTTTCCGTTTTCGAGAGGCACGACCGTGACTCTCGCGAAAGCAAAACCGTGTCTCTCGCGGAAGTAAAATCGTAACTCTCATGAAAGAAAAAAAAACGTGTTTTTCGCGCAAAATAATTTTTTTAAAAAAATTGATTAAAAGCTAAGGAAGACCGGTGAAAAACCAAAACGTCAAAGAAACGAAAAAAAATGTTCAAAAAACCAGAAACGCGTGCGAAAAAATAAAAAAAATCCGAAGAAAGCACCCAAAGCGTGACACGTGACGAATGACTGTAAGCGCGCCAAGTGGCGCTGATTGTTGCGACACTTCTGAAAAAGCCCTCGTTAATTAGTTGCTCTCTACGGGGGTAGGGAGTGGACCCATTAAACTAATTCGGTGGTCACGTACGCACATCGGTTGCAGGCCCAAGTAACTGGGTGTTAGCTACAGTAGCATAGATTTCACTTAGACGCTGACTGCGCGTCCATAGGATGGGGCCACTCGATGGCGCCGTCGCGCTCCACCTTCATCAGCGGGTCGGTGTTTATGATGCCACCCCACACCTGAGTGGTATCCGCGTCCAACCACTGCAACAAGCAGCAGCTAACCACAGAAAGCTCATCTAAAAAAAAGCTAACTAGAGAAAGTTGCAGCTGTTCCGAACCATCCTTGCCTCCTTGGACAAGTCGCCTGAAGAGTACTGCAGGTTTCAGCAATCCCCAGTAGGTAGTCAGTCTGCATGCATGCATGCATGCTACGACCATAATGGATTGGCGCCATGCAACCGCGCGAGACGACGCCGCGCCAACCTTGCCGGCTTCCCTAGCTAGGCATATATATACAGTTAAGCGCAAGGCACTGTGTGGTGTGTTCTCATTTCTGCCACCGACGCCTCCTCCCGTGATCGGACAATGGCTCGCCCGCTTCCTCGCCGCCTCGCTCTCTTCTGCGTCCTGGCCTCCTGCATTGCGCTCGCGCTCGCGGCGGGCACCACCCGTCCGAGCCGGCGGGGCCTCGCCGTAGGCGACAGCCAGGACGGAGGGGCTAGCGACGTCGGGGTTGGCGGTGGCGGCGGGTACGACGACAGCTTGATGCCCCGGCCGGCGCCGTCGTCCGAGCCGAGGGCGTGCCAGTTCGAGAACGAGCGGCTGTACAGGGCGTACCTGGTGATCCAGAAGTTCAGGAAGACGGTGATCTGCGACCCCAAGGGCGTCACCGCCACCTGGGCCGGCACCGACCTCTGCGGCTCCTACAAGGGCTTCTTCTGCGGGCGGCCGATCAACGTCAGCGACCGGACCGTCGCGTCCGTCGACCTCAACGGCTTCAACCTGCGGTCCGACTCGCTGCAGGGCTTCGTGGACGGCCTGCCGGACCTCGCGCTGTTCCACGCCAACTCCAACAGCTTCGGCGGCGCCGTGCCCAACCTCCGGGGCCTGCAGTACTTCTACGAGCTGGACCTGAGCAACAACAAGCTGGCGCCGGCCCCGTTCCCGACGGACGTGCTGGGGCTCACCAACGCCACCTTCATCGACATCCGCTTCAACAGCTTCTTCGGCGAGCTGCCGGCGGGGCTCTTCGGCTCCTTCCCGGAGGTGGAGGCCATCTTCGTCAACAACAACCGCTTCTCCGGCCAGCTCCCGGACAACCTCGGCGACTCGCCCGTCAACTACCTCTCCCTCGCCAACAACGACTTCACGGGGCCCATCCCCTCCTCCATCGGCCGCGCCGCCGGCACGCTCCTGGAGGTGCTCTTCCTCAACAACAGCCTCGGCGGCTGCCTCCCCTACGAGCTCGGCCTGCTGGCCAGGGCCACGGTCATCGACGCCGGCACCAACCGCCTCACCGGCACCATCCCGCTGTCGTACGCGTGCCTGCGGAGCGTGGAGCAGCTCAACCTGGCGGACAACCTGCTGTACGGCGTCGTGCACGACTCGCTCTGCCGGCTCGCCTACGACGGCCGCCTCGCCAACCTCACGCTCTCCGGCAACTACTTCACGTGGCTCGGGCCCTGCTGCTGGGACCTGGTCAGGGAGGGGAAGCTCAACGTCGACCGCAACTGCATCCTCTGGGCGCCCAACCAGCGCTCCTTCCACGAGTGCGCCCAGTTCTTCCACGACAACTGGAGCAGGATGACGTGCCCCGTCAGCAAGTACGTGCCGTGCCACCCCAAGTGGTACGCCGTCGACGCCGCCTCGGCCAGGGAGGAGCCCGCGGCGGCGGAGGAGTACAAGTACCGGACCTACTCGGCCTTGCACCCGTAAGGGCCCGCCACCGCCATGCCGGCGAGGGCCGGCAGCTGGCTCCACGTACGCGGCCGGTACACTTGTTAAAGAGGGCGAAAGCACTGCGCGTCTACTCTCGTGAGCTTACCCGCACGACGCAGCTGCTTGGTCGTTGCGACGGCTGGTCTCTGTCCACATTGTTGTTGTTTGTACTTTTCTAGTGTGCCCTTTCTCATCCACTATTACGGTCCGCTTGATTCAGGTGCTTGCATGCCCGGCATGCATGTCTCGCTAGGTACGTACGTGGTCACAAGTGGCTGCCTTTTCTCTTTCCCTCAGCGAATCATAATGATGTAATAATTCAGGTCATTTTTTAAGCAAAAGATTTTGCCACTTTCACTGATTAAGAAAGTAGTTCAAGACAAAGGCCGCTTTGAGGCGAAAAATTAGTAGTAGTACTCATGCAGCATTAAATTACGCAAATGCTTAGCGCCCGTCCACCCATCACCGGGGCGATGGTGTGGCGGAAAACCCTCGTGTTGCGCTTCTTTCAAACTTCCCGAGAGATTAGCGCCACTTTGATTTGTAGGATTCTAAAAGCATGGGAATATAGGACTGGCATGACATGTCCATCTCAATCCTACAGGATTTTGGTTTATTTGATTGCATCATAGGAGAAACAAAGGATTTTTTTAAGAGGTTTGAATGGTAGCTTTTTTGAAACTGTACCGTTCTTAACTAGATGACTTACTAGTAACGTGTAGTCACAATTTTCAAACTTTGGTTGCAAAGCGATACAAAAAAAAAATTGGATTGGCAAAATGAAACTTATTAGATTTATGATGAGAAATATTTTGACAATATAAATTGCTATGATGTCTTTCACGTTGTATATTTACAGGTGTCCGTGTATAAACTCTTTGTGGGTGTGTATCATCTTGATCCAACGTTTGCGTCAGCGAAATTCCCATTTTTCGGTAAACAAAGGGTGCATGAGTAGTTTTGTGCTATTCACACTGATAATCGAGGCCACAGCCCTCATTGATTCCTATTAACAGAAACCCCTTGTCATGAGACCTGCTGGACTTTAATTTCCTCTTCAGCAATCAAGTAGATATATCCCCTGTAATCTGTCTATCAGTGTTCTTGAGCCAGAAACGGAGGCATTGTTTGCTCCAACATGATCTGCCTTTTCATGAAGAGGGTGTAGAGAAGCTCATTCCAGACATCAGGGACTCCAGGCAGGCACCAGTGGCTGCAATCCTCTACCTCTTTGATTTCTGATGTCTTGTTCGTATGGGCTTGCCTTGAACTCAAAGGACTTCTGAACACTGAGAGGTGGCCGTCTTTTCGTTGGGCCGTCATCCGGGTCACGTTCAGTATATCCAACCCAGGCAGCCTGGGCCTGTGATGGCTCCCTAGAACATCGTTCACGGGCTTCAGCATGTCGGCCCATTGCTCCAGCGATTTGAACGGTGTCATGTCTGGAAGTGTTTCTTGCTGACAAAACCCTCCAGAATTCCAGTCACCACCGCTGCAGAGAAATTAACAGTGGTCGATCATGGAGGGTGAGGATCATTTTGCAATTTAATCAAGTACCACAACGAACAACTTATTAACACTAGCTATGTTTATTGTCAAAGGAAAAAAGGAAACTAGTTGTATTGACATGGTACAGACCTGAAGTGCGTAGGAGAATAGGTTCGGAAGATGGCCTGGGTCTTGTTTGCATTAACATTTTTCTGAAGCCAGTCGAACAGTGTTTTTATTGATCTTCTGTATGCATCGCTGACGCTCATATTCATCTTCACCTCATTCCCTTCTTGGAAATACGCACCCCTGGTGTATAAATGTAAACCTGGTTTCAGACAGATGACGGGTGCAATTATGATGAACTAACTGTTCTGATTAACAAAAACATAATTACAAAGAATTGTCTATCAATCAGCACAAAGCACACCTAAAGCATAATGAATCTATGGTATATTCTCGAAACTGGAAGATAAATTCTTGAAGGTGACGGATAGAGTGAAACTAATAAGGACACTGTTACATAAATCTTTGATCACACGCAGATAGCTATTTCTCTATGAAATTACTCACATAAAAACACAGAAATTATCGCAGAACAAAACATAGAAATAATTACATATGAAGAACTAGCTGACAGGGTTTGCAACTTAGCTACTAATTTGAATGCAAAAGTACTGCCAGTTCCATGAAACAGGAAAAGCCATTAACTCAACATAAATATGCAGATATATGACAGCTACTTGCTTACCATCCAATTGTTTTGTCTTTTGTCCACCAATGCCCAGAGTTGAAGATTAACAGATCAGCATCCCTCCACTTACGCCGGCCAGACATCCAATCCATGGAATCCACCCTGACCGTACTCTTAACAAACTTGGGGGCTCCAGCCGGTCCATGACCTTGCGGGACTAGAAACGGGGACCTGTAATACTCGACAGTGCAATTGTAGTCTCTGAACTTGAATATAAAGAATCCATCATGCTTTGTGATGGGTCTGCCATTGATCTCATAGATGAAGCTCTTGTCTGGGACAGCAGTAGAGAGCATACAAAGCAGAGACTCCCATTGGTTCCTTCCAATCGAATCGCCGACGAATACCACTCTTTTGTTTCGTAGCCTCTCTAGCATACTCTTAGCATGAAACCTAAGAAATCACAGAAATCCAGATTATGACATAGAAAATGACATAAATTGTGCCAGAATACTTGAATAAAGTGTGGATATTCAGATAATCCCTAGGCCCAAAACCACAAACATCAGATATTCAGATAGACACGGTTATAGTATTGGCAGTGACAGGAAGTCCATTTGCTATTCTAAAACAAAGGGAAGTCCCGTTGCTCAAAGGTGATCTTCTCAGTAATAATTAGTGCTAGAATTCATTTCTAAAAAAATTAGTGGTACAATCGCTCGAGTAGATTTAACTTATCAACATCACCGACTATACAACCTTTCAGTTTCAATACAGAGTTGCTTCGGTACAAACTTACGAGCGAATCAATTTGATCTTATTTGGTCTGGTGCGTAGCTAAATGACTAAGTAAAACTGTAAAATGTCTCACTAAAAAATAAGTAAAACTGTAAAAGACGACACACGAGAAAAGGGGTCAACCAACGGACCTGGGGAGATCGCAGCACGACGGCTGCCACCGCCATCTGGTGTAGGAGGCGTCGGGGCGGCCGTTCTCCGAGCACCGGAACCCGCCGTCGAGGAACGGGCAGTCCTTGGACTCGTAGAGCGGGTAGCTGTCGTCCCGCACCCACTCCCCGTCGAAGAAGTCGCAGTCCCGCGCCACCGCACCGGGCGCCGACGCGGAGGCCCCGCAGCCCCAGAGCTTCCTGGGCGCCGACAGGGCGGACCCGACGGCCGTCGAGCAGCGGGGCGACGCGGGGCAGGCGAGCAGCAGCAGCGCGGCGGCGGCGGAGGCCAGCGTGGCGGCGAGGACCAGCGCCATCCCGGCCTTCTCCAGCGGCCTCGTGGCGGCCAGCCGCGCCAGCCGCTTGACCGACGGCCCTAGCATGCCGCCGCGCCCGGCCGGCGCTTAATTCGCTTCCTGGTCGAGGTCGTCGACGATCGAGCAGCGGGCTAGCTTTCGCAAGCGTATGCCTGTGAGAACAGACATGGAGGATGCAGCGGGGGAAGGTTGGGTTGTGATCGGGACGGGAATCGAGCATACGTGTCCCCGACTGGCTTCGATCGACAAGCGATGCGTTGTTGATCGCGGGGCCCATCATGTATCGATCATCGTTCGAGGCCCATGTATCGCGCGCTCGCGATCGCGGGGCCCGCCTGAATCAGGCGTCGTCGATCAGCCCTTAAAGCGTGATTTTGAGGCTTCCAGTAAAAATCATGTACACATCTCAATTGCAAACAAAAAAAGGTAAAATCCTCTCTTTTGACATTCTTGATTGGGATTACCTCATTTAACCAAATTTGTGCCATTTTTACTTTTCTATCTCAAACCAACTCCAACGCTAGACCGGGACAGTCGTTTTGTCCACTTTCCGTCGGTAAAATGGACGACCGTGTTAGGTTTTGACCGTCCTTCTACAGGTGCACCCAATGGCCCGCCGCAGTTGACAAAAACGTCCGCTTAACTTAAATGCAAATATAAACAAAAGATATAAAAAAAGCAATTTAAACGAACTACATATTACATTAAAAAGTTCACAGCCGAACTATCCACGTGCATTAAAAATAAATTAATAAAAAATGACCTTAAACCAAATGAAATCCTAGATTGGCCGTCTCCGCCGTCCGCACTGCATGCCGTCTTCCTTGTTCGTGCTGAGGTCGATGAAGGGAGGCGGCTGCCACACATGGGCTAGTGGCGCCGGCGGCTGCACTGCAAGGGGTGGCGAGGGCGCGCTGGGCGGTGACCACGCGTCGGCCCCAACCCGCACGGCCGGCGCTGACACCAGCTCCGGGGTGCATGGCAGAGTCATAGTCCACGACCAATGTTGGCCCTCCGCCTCTGGGTTCCACCGAGGCTCCGCGTCGTCCCGCTCCACCAATCCCTCAAGCTCCGGGATGGCGACATCGGCGATGGCCGACAATGCCATCTGGACCTCGAGTTCGTCTCGCTACTCCCTCTGGATCCGCTTGTACTCCCTCCGGATGTCCTCGAGCACCGGTCGCACTAGCTCCTCCTCTTCGACCGTCGTCGGATGACGCGGCGGTGGCGATGGCGGCGAGGACGTGCGTGTGTCCTGGCACGCCCGCGGGCATGGGGAGGGCTAGGAGCACGCACCGGTGGTGGGCTCTGCGCACGGTTGGCAAAGTAGGTTTGTCGCTGCACGTCATGCTCATCACCGAACCGCATATCCCAAAGAAGCGACTCAATGTCGTACCTTGGGTTGTCGAGGAGATGCGTCGGGATCTGGTGGCGCTGATGGTTGAACTCTTGGAGGCGGACGCGGTCGCTCGCTGGGACGGTCGGCATAGGCACCCGATCCGGGCTCAAATGCCACCCATTCGGCACTTGTGCATCCGGCCATGGAAGCGG